AAAGCAGAAAGCAAACAAACCATGCAAGACCCATCGGAAATGCAAAAAAAGCAAAGCAGAAAGCAAACAAACCCCACAAGACCCATCGGAAATGGGGGGGCCCAAAAGCAAACAAATCCTGCAAGACCCATCGGAAATGGGGAACCCAAAAAGCAAACAAACCCTGCAAGACCCATCGCAGCATAGAAACATAACCACAACACCCAGCCCAAAACCATGCTGCAAGACCCACCCAGAACAATTTTTAAGAAGCAGAAAGCAGCACCTTACCTTACCAGGCAGTCTGAAGCTCCCTCCAATCGCACACTCTCTAACTCCTGGGGCGACAGAGCTACAAAGAAGCAACTTCTTCACCTGCCAACAGTTACCAATTTGAATTCCCCGCCTTTTTCCCCTGCCCTTTTCTGCTTGAAACTGGAAGCTCCGGCTGCAAGTCGAAGCAAAATTTTGCAGTCAGAGCTGGTCGTAACTCAAAATGGTCATATGTTGGGATGTTCATAAGTTGAGGCACCACTGTAATATCAACTATGGGTCCCGATGGCAATTTTTAGAGTATACATTTTAATTATATTTTAATTATTTTATCTTTTTTACTGTATTTTAATTGTCTTAAGCCACCCAGAGACCTTTGGGTAGTGTGAGCAGCATATAAATTAAATTAAATTAAGTTAAAGAAATAAATACATATGGCTGTAAAAGTTGGATGATTAAGAAAATGGACAGAAGGAAAATGGATTCTTTTAAGCTATGGTGTTGGAGGAGGCTCTTGTGCATTCCATGGACTGCAAAGATGATGAATAAAGAAGTGCTCAAACGCATAAAACCAGACATGTCACTTGAAAGCAAAATAACAAAACTTAGACTTAGTTATTTTGGTCATATCATGCAATCTACATTACTGGAGAAAGATATTATGCTTGGAATGTCAGTGGTAAAAGACAACAAGGACACCAAAAAACGCATTGGTTGTATGTAATCAAAGCAAACAATGGCAAAAATATAAAGCAGCTGAAAGAAGCTGTACAAGATTGGAAATCATGGAAAGAGCTGGATCATGAAATCACCAAGGGTCAGATACAACTGAATGGATAATTTGATTAGGTATGGATTTTGTTCATCAGCGGGGGTAGACTTAATTATGTGGGGGGTGTCTTCCACTCTTAATTCTAGGTTTCTACGAAAATGACAGCAACAAAACGTTATTATCTTTATCTTCTGCTAGTGCATTTCCCACAATCATTTGTTTGGCTACTGGGAAAATGACACTGCATTAAGTGAGGTCTTCATTCTGATAGAGCAACACTCTTATTTAACAGTGAATAACAGTGACTTGATTTAACCAAGTCAGTGGTTCCCAACCTTGGGTAATCCAGATGTTCTTGGACTGCAACTTCCAGAAGCTTTCACCACTAGCTGTGCCAGCTGAGGGCTCTGAAAACTGCAGTCCAAGAACACCTGGGTTACCGAAGGTTGGGAACTATTGAGCTAAGACAACTATTATGGTCTACATTTTTCATCCCAATTAGACTATATGTACTGGATAAAGGGAATTTACATAAGTTTTACCTAATGATGTTTCCATTTACATAATAAATCTACTATATTTGGGATTACCAATTGATTTAGCCCTGTTTTTGATCCAGTTTAGGATCTATCCTCAAATGAGGGCTATAGCCTAAATGCACCTGCAGTCCAGTAGTGAGGCCTGACATTTCAATTTTGAAATGTCAAGGACAACAATTAATATTTCCTATGCCTATTCAAGGATGAATATGTAGATATACTGTACAGCATCGTAGTTCAAGTGTTCATGATGGGATGTTAAATAGTATACATTTATAAATGTTCACACATGGATACAGAATAAACATCAGCATTACCCCCACAGTGACACAACATACAAGTCTGTACATAATAAATATCACAATGCTTGAATCTGACTAAAAAAAGGTCAGTTCTTTATGCATTATGGGATTGTACGTGGGATATAGGAATTCAGAACAGACAGTGCATATCTATTCTTCCACACAAAGTTCTCTCTCAAATAGTTTGAATTACTGGGTTCTAAAGAAAGAACTCAGTGACAAGAATAGCTGATTTAATTTTTTTAAAAAATGAAAGTAACTATGAGAAGACACATTTCTTCCAAATTACGAGACACATACTAGCTTAATTTACGTAGTATGGCCAATAGCGTTAACTTCTCAGATGTATACTAGTCGTACTTTTTTGTAAAATGAACCATCCCATCACAAGTTTTTCAGCACCCTGAAATTTGCAAACTTGCTTTTTAATTCACATTTTTAAAACTCTCTTACTTGCATGTCTAATTAGAAAACACACACGCACATACACACACACACACACACGATGAGATGGGAATCTCATCTTGTGTGTGTGTGTGTGTGTGTGCTGTGCCATCAAATCAGAACCAACTTATAGCAACTCTAATAGGACTTTCAATGTAAATGAGATGTTTAAAGAGTGATTTTACCAGTTGCACTCCTCCAGTGAGTTTCCATGGCATATTCAAACCCTGTCCTCCAGAGTCCTGGTCCCTGACTCTATCTACTACACCACATTGCTGAATCAGCTAGCTGCCTCTCCACTGTCCTTCCACCAGCAGGCCAATTTTTTCTCTGAAGACAGACTTATAGTAAATATCTGGCTGCCAAGGAAGATGTTTTCAATGAAAGATGTTATGCCTTGTACCTTTTTACTCAACAGTTTCAATATGAAAAATGTTTAAGGTTTTTTTAATATTTCAATTTACTGTATGTGTAAGTGGCTTAATATATGCCATTTAAATATTTTGTAAGCTGTCTCAGATGCCTTTATTGGAAGAAAAGTGGGCTGTAAACGAGTACATGTTTACTCTGATGCAAAATCTGTTAAGTTCAATGAGACTTCACACAGCACTGCAGCTATGTGCACTTTCCTTAAATTGATGAAATAAAGGTAACTTTAATTTATATCATTTAAAAAAATGAAAACTGTATAATTTATGTTTATTTTAATATATATTGCCCAGAGTAGTGATTTGCTAGATAGGTGGCATATAAATCAAATAAATAAATAAAACTATTGTGAGGGTGCCTAAGAATAAGGCACTGAGACAAAGAAGATTTTCTTAGGCATGGCCAGAAGAATTTATTAAATAGAATTCAGTCCTTTAAAATCCTACTTAATGACAATAGATTATTAAACAGGTGATCACTTGAAAATATTCCTGAAAATATTCATTTGTAACAACATGTGGGTGCTTAGGAATCAATCAATACTAAATGAAAATGTGTACAAGTATGAGTATGTATTGGACATTTTTGTAGACACTTTTCCTACTCCTACATATTGTACACAAATAATTTGTGGTTTTTTGCATAGCTGTTTAGTTCTAGTTTGATCTCTTAAGACATAGAATGTCTTATGTTTCTTGTACAGTACATCTTATTCACTTTTAGTCAGACTAGAGTATAAGCCTGTAGAAGGGACCTATCATACTCTTCACTTTTGCATAGAAAAGTGTCTGATTTTGAGGCACCTTGTAAATAATTGATACACATCAAAATATGTATACTGAACAGGCAAAATTCAATTGTTCTCCCAACTAGAATTGACCCACTGAACTAATGGGACTATATAAGTACTGCCTTTAAAATTCTCTTCATTCAGTGGATCTTCTCTAACAGAGACTAACAAGTGCCCTATGCCACTAATACAGAGAAATAATACCAATTAGCACTCCCAGCCTACTAACACTACTAACACGCATCCCTCCCCCCCTCCCCAGCAACGCTTTGTTTATCAGTATCATATGTTATAGTAGCAATAATGTATCAACATGTTCCACAAAACACCTTGGACACAATTCTCTGCAGAAACATACTCAAGACAATTTACCAACACCTTGTGTTTTGCCTCTGATGTAGTAAGATTTTATGATTCACTGATATCACTAATATTCATTTTTGTTACACCTGTAAAGATAGAACAAGTACAAGAAGATGGAAATTTAAAGGCTTTTTAACAAACATCTTCTTTCTTTTCTTTTCCTATCTGTGCCGCATCAAGTCTAGCAAGAGATTCATGACACCAACCAATGGCAATATTTCTTATAGAGAATTACTCAAAATAAATATGACTGAAATATTTTTGTCAGGACACACACTCAATTTTCTAAACTCAAATTCTTGCTGGGAATTAATTTTAGGTTGGCTATTTATAGTTTTCATTATGAATAGTGTCTTTTTTCATGCCACACATTTTCTCTATTTATCCTTATGCAAATAGAAAGAACCCCCTCCAGCATGGAGGCAACATACAAGAGCAATGGAAATTATCAATGGAAGCAGAATACTATTCACCACACAGATTATACAATATTCTCTCAGAAACTCTGTCTTCTTTTGGATTTCCCCCCTTCTCCAAAGGCTTGCTGAAGAAAGCTATCCACTCCCAGCAGCCCATTATGTGAATACACACTAAGGATGCCCCAGCCAGGCTTGTTGTTAACAAACTGAGAGAAGAAAAAAGCCTTTGCTGGAGTGAGTGGGAGTGTATGTGTATCTCTGTGGTGTGTGTGTTTCCTGGAATGAGCTTTGAGAGAGATACTACTGTATTTACAGGCATATTTACGCATCCCTACAAATTATAGTTATATATATTTATATATTTTTCACTTATGGCTAGATATATATGTACTGAGTGGCCTTTCAAGGGAGGAAATGACTCTCAGTTTCCCGAAATCAAAGAGCCAACCACCCTGCGGCTCCTCCTCAACTCTCCCCGAGTGTCAGTTGCCCAGTCACATCATTTCCCCTACCAGTTCCTGTGAGGAAAATGACACACTCACACGCGCGTACCATTTCCCTGCCACCTCACACACAACCTCGTGAGAGGAAAGCCAAGGCTCCCCTCAAAGGAGCCTTCCACCTACCCAGCCACCCTCCCTTTCGCCCCCACNCCCCACGATAGCAACATTACAAAATAGCCACACCTACCTGTCTTCTCGTGGTCATAGCCCACCACAATGAAATAATCGGCCAGCCTGGCCATGGCTAAGGAGAGCCTGCCTCGGCCCCCGTTAGCCCCGCCGCAGCTGACACCACCGCTGCTCCCGGGAAGCTCAGCATCCTCCCCTCCGCTCCTGCGGCTGCTGCACAAGAAGGAGCAACAGCAGCACCTCAGCCATGTTGGACACACAGGCCCGCGATGCGCCTGCGCGCTCTCTCTCTCTTCCCCCCCCCCCCCCCCCTC